CTGATGCCAAACAACCCTCGAGCAGGCGGTATTTCACGCCGGATTGAAGGTGAAGACCGCGACGAACTCCGCGAAGCGCTTTCTCACCTGGATATTCCCGAAGGTATGGGCGTCATCGTCCGCACCGCCGGCGTTGGTCGCAGTGCTGAAGAATTACAATGGGACCTGGCTTACCTGCTACAACTCTGGCAAGCCATCCAGAGTGCCAACGAAGTAGAAAAAACACCGTCCCTGATCTATCAGGAAAACAGCGCGGTGTTGCGTGCGATCCGCGACAACTTGCGCCGTGATATTGGTGAGGTATTGATTGAAGGCGAAGAGGCCTACGCAGAAGCATCTGCTTTCATTGCCCAGGTCATGCCGCACTACAAAGAAAAAGTAAAACCTTATAGTGACGGCATACCACTTTTCAGCCGTTATCAGATTGAAAGCCAGATTGAATCTGCTTTTGAGCATACGGTGAAATTGCCCTCTGGCGGCAGCATTGTCATTGATCCGACAGAAGCCCTGGTTTCCATCGATATCAACTCTGCACGCGCTACAAAAGGTGCGGATATTGAAGAAACCGCGCTGAACACCAACCTGGAAGCCGCAGACGAAGTTGCCCGGCAGTTGCGAATCCGGGATATCGGCGGACTGATCGTGATCGATTTTATCGACATGGTGAACCAGAAAAATCAGCGGGCGGTAGAGAACCGCATGCGCGATGCGCTGGAAGTCGATCGTGCGCGCGTCCAGGTCAGCCGGATCTCAAGATTTGGCTTAATGGAGATGAGTCGCCAGCGCTTGCGTCCATCGCTGGAAGAAATTACGACGGTTTTGTGCCCTCGCTGTAATGGTCAGGGCCGCATTCGAGACACCAAGTCTCTGGCGCTGGCAATTCTTCGGATTCTTGAAGAAGAATCTTTAAAAGAGCGCAGCGCCGTTGTGCGCGTCCAGGTACCACTGGCGGTCGGGGCTTACCTGTTGAATGAGAAACGCCAGGGTGTCGCTGAGATTGAACAGCGTACCGGCTGCCATGTTGTCATCATTCCGAACACCAATCTCGATACGCCACATTATATTGTTGAGCGACTTCGAGATGACCACGTCAAAGAAGAAGGCATTGTCCCCAGTTCAACCCTCTCAGAACTGGCCAATCAGGCAAGTGACGAAGACATCCCGGACGACAGTGTTGTTATCAACAGGCCGCAAGCTGCAGTACAAACCCTGCAACCTCAACAGCCGCCGCCGCCACCTGTGGCTACGCAAGAAAAACCAGCCGCCGCCGCAGCCCCTGTCGCAGCGGCAGCTGCACCTACTGCAAAAGCAGGATTCTGGTCAAAACTTGTTAAAAACCTGTTCAGCGACGAGCCAACATCTGCTGAGGACGATAGCCAGTCGACAGGCAGGAAAACCGAAAATCGCACTCGCCAGCCGGCTAAGCGCCAGGATCGTGAGCAGCCGTCTCGCAGCAGCAATCGGGGCAGAACCAGCCGTGACCAGGCTAAGTCCACACAGTCCAAGCCTGAGCAAAGCAGACCTGCAAAAAGCAGCGACGATGACGCGGGTGACAAAAATAGACGGGAAAATAACAGCGAGCGTCCAAAACGCAGCAGTCGCAAAAACGACAAGCCGGAGACTCGCAACAGGAGCGACGTGAAAGAAACGGGTGATAAGCCCAGCACGCCAAAACGTGAAGGTCCGAAAAAACCCAGACCTTCTGCAGCAGAGCGCGCGCCCAGTGAAGATGCACTTGAAAGCAGCAAACGCGCACCCAAACGTAACCGCTCAGAGCCAAAACCAGCGACTAATCAGTCCACCTTTAAAAGTCAGGGCCCTGACAAAACAAAGAGCACTGTTGAGGTTATATCAAATGCCGCTGGCGGTATCGCAAGCACACCCTCATCGGATGACAACTCCGGCACGAACACTGCCGAGCGTAAACCTGCCAAACCAAGAGGTAGAGCATCTAACGATCCGCGTAACAGAAACAAGAAAAGCGCGGAGAATGACAATCCCAGCGACGCGGCGCCATCTGCAGTGGTTGAAACACCCGCGGTAGAAGTGCAGCAGGATCAACCAGAGGTAGCTGCAAAAGTATCTGAAGCAACAGCAGATAAACCTGCAAGGGCGGCGAAGAAAACGCCGGCAGCACAGGATTCTGAACTATCTGAGCTCGAGCAAAAACCTGCTGCTAAAGCCGAGGAAGCAACGATAAAAGCGCCCGCTAGAAGCCGCAGCAACACTGCCCCGGCTAAAGAAAGCGTGCCTGACGCTGCAGCGAAGGATGTGGAAAAAGTACCTGCACCCCAACGCGACAATGAGAAAACCTCGAAACCAGCAGAAACAGCCGCGTCCGAGGCAACACCCGTGCCAGAGACCGCGTCCAAAGCAGAGCCAAAAATAGCAGCTAAGCCTGAACCAGAAGTAAAAGCGGCACCTGAAACCGCAAAAATGGAGGCTGCATCAACGGAGCCTGCAGCTGAACCTGCACCGGTGCGTCCTGCCCGCGCTTATAATGATCCACGAGAGATCAAACGCAGGCAGCGTGAAGCTGAACTTAAAGCACAGGGTGTGATGAGTAACAGCAGCACCCGTCAGGACAACACTGATGGTTCCAGTTCCAAGTGAACACCAAAGTGAACTAAAACGTCCTCACGAATCGATTCGGCAAAGTTCAGGACAGCATCGCTGTCCGCTTTGCCTCGATTGACCAAAACCAACGGCTGGGCTCCCCAACACATAACCTCCGGCGCGGGACGATCTTTCCAGCCCAACTGATCAATCAGCTGGGCAGCACTTAATTTGACCATGTCACTGTCATCGGCTTGATGGAACAGTTTCAGCCACGCTGAACGCTCCTGCAAAGACGATGCAAAAGTTTTCGTGACCAAAGGATTCTTGAAAAAACTACCAACGTTGGGTGCTTTGTTAACATCCGGCAGCTTGCTTCTCCGGATACGCTGAACTGAGGCAAACACATCTTCAGGACTGGGATCTGAATGATGGTGCGCGGCGAGGTCCGCCTGCAACTCCGGATATGCAACCACAACGTCGGGCTGTTTTTGCAGACGCAATCGCACTCGCGTGATCACCCAATCTTTATGCGCCTTGAAGATACTATTGCGATAACTGAACCCACAGCTGCCAACATCCAGCAATTGCCGTTCACCTTGAACATCTATAATTTCAATCCGCTCAACAAAAGCGGCAAACTCTACGCCATATGCACCAATATTCTGTACAGGTGCAGCACCAACCGAGCCTGGAATCAGAGCGAGATTTTCAAGCCCGTACCATCCTTGGGCCAGCGTAAAAGAGACTGTCTCATGCCAGTTTTCCCCCGCGGCGACATCAACCAATACCTCACGCTGTGTCTCCGCCACCAACTCAATGCCTTTCAATCCCATCAGACAAACAAATTGCGCCACGTAGTTGTGCGCGACCACGTTGGATCCCTCCCCTAAAGCCAGAAAAGGCAGCCCGTGATTCTGACTGTAGCGTTGGCCTTCCTGCACATCTTCAATCGAAGCTGCGCGTATGCCTACTTTTGCCCTTGCTGGGAGCGCAAGCGTGTTGGGTATGGGCATATCCTTGTGTAACTGCATCAGTGAATCGACCTGAAAGTAAGGTTAATGCGCACAGGCACATGTCGCGCTGTTCTGGTCAACGTGTGTTGTAGTCGGCCATCAAATATAAGTAACGAACCGGCATTGAGATCAATGGCCGTTGAAGCAGTTCCAGGACCAGCCCGATACCGAAAACGGCGGCAGCCACCCAGGCTCAGTGAAGCAATAAGAGGATCCGCTGCGGCCTCGTCATCACGATGCCACCCCATATACTGGCTGCCATCATCGTATCGATTGAGCAACACAAAGTTGAACCTGCGGCCTACCCTTTCGTTTACCCGCTTGTGCAGGTCAAGCAATTGCGCAGGCCAACCCGAGGTTGCATGGTCAATACCGCTGTAACGATAATTTAAACCGTCATCGCCAAACCAGGCCGCCGTTCTCGGCGCGGTGACTGTGCGACCATAAATACTGAAGGTTTCCTCTCGCCAGACCACAAAATCACTGCTCAGACACCAATCGGCCAAGGCCTGAGCCTTCTGGTCTGTTAAAAAATTTTGCACATATTCCATGCTGCAGTGGCCGAGCCTTCACTAAAGACCGTTATACTAACGCGCATAAAAAATGAGTCACGTTATTCAACCCAAAGGAGTCAGAGAATATGAATATCGAAGGCAAAGTGGCAGCGATTACAGGAGGCGCCTCAGGCCTCGGTCGCGCTACAGCAGAGGCGATTATCGCCCGCGGCGGTCAGGTGGCCATCCTTGATCTAAACCACGAACTTGCTGAGCAGACTGCAAAAGAACTGGGCAACGCCCGTGCGTACCAGGTCAACGTCACCGACGATGCATCAGTCAGCAGCGCAATTGCGCAGATTAAAGCAGATTTTGGCGCCATTCACATCAATGTGAACTGCGCAGGCATTGGCGCAGCAGCACGAACCGTTGGACGCGACGGCGCGTTGGACATCAACAAATTTAATATGATCATCCAGGTCAATCTGGTGGGTACTTTCTCGGTTCTGAGCAAGTGCGCTGCCGTGATGCAGGACAACGAACCTGAAGGTGAAGCTCTAGAGCGCGGAGTGATCGTCAACACTGCCTCGGTCGCAGCCTTTGATGGCCAGGTGGGTCAAGCAGCTTATACGGCCAGTAAAGCAGGTGTGGCGGGCATGACCCTGCCTATTGCCAGGGATCTTTCCCGCCAGGGTATACGCGTCTGCACAATTGCACCCGGCATCTTTGATACGCCGATGATGGCAGGCGCACCTGAGCAGGTACGCGCGCCACTGATCGATATGGTGCAATATCCGAAGCGATTAGGTATTCCCCCGGAATACGGCATGCTGGCCACACATATTATTGAGAACACCTATCTCAACGGTGAAACCATCCGCCTTGATGGTGGTATCCGTATGGCACCCAAATAGCAAAGAAATAGAATAAGTGTCTATTGCGCCAGCAGGATCTGCTCAACACGAGCCAGGTCCTCTGGCGTGTCCACACCACCCGGGATCGGCACAGTACTGGGCAATACCCTTATCCGCCCGCCGGCCTCCAACCAGCGAAGCTGCTCGAGAGCTTCAATATCTTCCAGATGAGCATCCCGCAGCGACACAAACCGCTGCAGCGCCTCGACACGAAAAGCATACAGACCAACATGGCGCTGTGGTTTAAATACATCCATCTGACTGTCTGTCAGCGCATCATTCAGGATCAGATCACGCGGCAATGGGATCGGTGCGCGGGAAAAATACAGCGCGTCACCCTCTGTTGTGGTGACAACTTTGACAATATTCGGGTTGAGGAATTCCGCAGCCGTCAGTATTGGTTCGGAGACTGTTGCCATCTGCATGGTTGTATCTGCACGCATCAGATCTGCCATTTGAGAGACTAAAGACGCCGGCAACAAAGGCTCATCTCCCTGCACATTAATGACAATGTCATTCTCGTCCCAGCCTGAACGACGCACAACTTCCATGACCCGGTCAGATCCGGAGGGATGGTCTTGTGCCGTCAGCATCGCGCTGTAACCTGCTGCCTCCACTACGGCCAAAACACTGCTGTCATCTACTGCAGCGGTAACCGTATCTACATCAGCATCCTGTACTGCCATCATCACGCGCACGATCATCGGAATCCCGTTGATCAGTGCCAGGGGCTTGCCTGGCAATCGGGTCGAAGCCAATCGCGCGGGCACCACAACATGCACCTTCACGGCGCTACTTCCAGATCCTGCATCTCACTGATGTCATCTTCGCGAACCAACCGCTGGGGTGCAATTGCGCGTTCCGTCAGCAGGCCAAGCAATATGTCTCGCGCGTTTGTTTCTAACTGAACGGAAACACGCAGAAACCAGACATGACTGAAATCATCTTCAAGATGTTTCAGTTTGGCGGCATCTTTTTCTGTACAGACAACCTGCATGCCATCACCGAAGCGCACTTCCGGGCCGGAAAAATCATAATGATCACTGTAAGTGTGCTTTATGGTGCTGATACCCAGTTCCTGCAGCGACTCGAAAAAGCGTCGCGGATTGCCGATACCACACACCGCGTGCACCTGGCTGTAACGCCCGCAGAACGCAGCACAGGTTAACTGTTCGCCGCTGGCCAGATTGATGAAACCATCCGCGTGCATGCGCATCACAGACTCGGACTCAACCAGGCCGCTGGATTCCCCGTTAGCGATTACCCAATCTACTTCCTGCAAACGTTCTACCGGCTCCCGCAATGGACCTGCCGGCAACAACCTGCCGTTACCAACACCGCGCGCGCCGTCAATAATGGCAATCTCTATATCTCTGGCCATCGCATAATGCTGCAAACCATCGTCCGAAATCGCGATGTCGCATACCTGGGTTTCCAGTAGCCGCAGCCCTTTTAAGCGATTGGCAGAAATAGCCACCGGACAACCAAGGCGGTCGCGCAATTGCACAGCCTCATCACTGTAACGCTCAGGATCTGCACCGCTGGGAACAAGGGTACCAGTCTTGCTCAAACGTCCACCATAGCCGCGTAACACCACACCGGGCGCGTAACCTAAGGCTCGCAGTTCTTCAACAAGCCAGCTCACCATCGGCGTTTTACCGGTACCGCCAACGGTAATATTGCCAACCACAATTACCGGCAGACTGGTACGGGCGGGCGTTCGTTTACCTGTTTGATAAGGTTTGAGCTGGCGTTTTCGTCCCCAGTTATAAACCCCGGACAGTGGACGCATGAGGTGCAACCACCAGGCACCGTCATACCAGGCCTGAGACAACCCCAGAGCTGATCTTTCAAAATATTCACCGCTGGGCAAACTGGCACGCACAGCAGCCTGATCTTTCTTACGGGGCAGTCGTTTTTTCTTTTTCGCCGGAACATCATCCTGGAATTGCGCGCTGTGCAATTCGGCATACAGACCATCAGCGGCAAGCAGATCATCATGAGTGCCTACTTCTACAATCTGCCCGTCATCAAGCACAACGATACTGTCAGCAGACTCAATCGTAGACAATCGATGGGCAATCACGATGGTTGTCCGACCTTCCATCACCGCATCCAGGGCCGCTTGTATATAACGCTCTGATTCGTTGTCCAGGGCAGAGGTGGCTTCATCAAGAATCAGCAGCGGCGCATCTTTGAGCAGTGCCCTGGCGATAGCCACACGCTGCCGCTGACCTCCGGAAAGAAGCACGCCATCATCACCAACAATAGTATCGAAGCCGTCCGGCAGTGCTGCTATGAAATCACCCGCGTAGGCACGAGTCACGGCCTGTTGGACAGCCTCGTCACTGGAGCCCGACAGATCACCGTAGGCAATATTATTGCGCAGGGTATCGTTAAAAAGGGTTACCTGTTGCGAAACAAGCGCAATCTGACGCCGCAAAGCAGGCAGCGAATACGAGCGTATATCTTTGCCATCGAGCAGAATACGTCCATGCTCCAACTCGTAGAATCGCGGAATCAGACTGGCCATGGTGGTCTTGCCGCTGCCTGAGCGTCCAACCAACGCAATCGTTTGACCGGGCTCGATACTCAGGTTCACATGGCGCAGTACTGGCGTATCACCACCGTATGAGAACGATACATCTTCAAATACCAGTGATCCCACTGCTCGCCCGCCATCTTCGCTACCCTCATCCTGCTCGATCGCAAAATCCAGCTGCGCAAAGACATCTTCAGCGGCAGCAAGCCCACGCTGCAGTTTGGCATTCACCTCTGAAAGTTTTTTTATCGGTGATCCTAACAAAGCCGCCCAGGTCAGGAACGTCACAGCTTGACCACTGGTCATTTCTCCGGCGCTGTCGTAAAGGAGAAAAATCAGAATACAGACGGCTAATGCAATGATGGTTTCATTCAGCTGCGCGCTGAACACTTTGGTCACCGCCATCTTCAAGTTCTGCTGGCGATTCACCCGATTGGATTTTTCAAATCTGTTGGTCTCATATTCCTGGCCACCGAAGGTGCGCACAACTCTGTAACCAGCGGTGGTCTCAGACACCACGTGAGTGACATCCCCCATAGAGCCCTGAATGCGCCGGCTGATTCTTCGAAAGCGGCCACTGGCAAATACCACCACAAAGGCAAGCACCGGCAGCGTGGCAATGAACAGAAGCGTCATTTCCCAGTTCATCCAGAGCATTGCACTTAAATAGACAATGACTTTCAGACCGTCCTGGATAATGGCGCGCAGGGCATCGGTGCCGGTATCACGCAATTGCGCCACGGTGAATGTCAGACGTGAAACGGTATGACCTTGAGAATTTTTATCAAAAAAGCTGCTGGGAAGCTTCAACAGCTGATCGAACAACTCCTGTCGCAGGGTGTACACCACATGAAACGACACCCGCGCCATCAGGGACTCACCAATAATGGAACCTGTGGCCCGCCCCAGGGCTGTTGCGAACATCAATACGGGGATGCTTGCCGCGGCAATGATGACGGCTTCGTCCCAGGAATCGATGAGCTGCCCAAACAGATAGCCGAAATAAGCCTCTGATCCGGCCGCGCCCAAAAATCCCATAAACGAGATCAGCAGCAGCACCCAATGCGGTGCCACGTACTTCAGAAGGCGTTTATATATAGACCAGTCGCCTGATGACTTTGCGATGTTGGTATTCCTCTCGGGCGTCATCGCCGCTACAAATATGGGATGTCTATTCCGAAGTTTCTTCGGGTTGTTGGGTTGTAATGCTAACGCGGGTCAGGCCTACCGTACCAGCGGCATCCATGGCCCGCACAACCGACTGATGTTCAGCTGTGGCATCCGCGGTAATGACCACCAGCGGCGACGGAGAGTCCGGATCCATGACCTCTCGCAGAGCACGGACGAGAGTCTCTTTCTCAGAGTTCACCAGCAGGCGCTCATTCACGGCATAGTCGCCACCGCGATCAACCACAATCTCAATAGTGCCGGGTTCCACTTCCTGCAACTCGCCGCTGGATTCAGGCAGATTTATCTGTAACTGCGTTTCGCGGATAAAGGTGGTGGAGACCATAAAAAAAATCAGTAGAAGAAAAACCACATCGATCAATGGCGTCAATTCAACGTTGGCTTCGTGGCGGCCGCGCCTGCGCTTTGCCATGGCTCAAGCAACCGTTTCGACGTGATGACCGTGAACCATATCTGCCAGTTTGCTGCTTTCATGTTCGACTTCGACCACCAGCTCATCCACACGTCGCAGGAAAAATCGATGGAACATCAGCGCCGGGATTGCAACGGACAAGCCCGAAGCGGTAGTGATCAGCGCAGTCGATATACCCCCGGCCAGCAGATTGGCATTGCCGGAGCCTTCGCGCATGAGGTTATCGAATACATCGATCATACCCACAACGGTACCCAGCAATCCCAACAGCGGCGCGATACTGGCAATGATACCCAGCGCGGTGAGATACCGCTCCAGATCCTGATTGACCTGGTTGGTAGCCTCTTCCATTGCTTCTTTCATGATCTCCCGGCCACGTTTCGCATTACTGATGCCCGACGCAAACACATGCCCCAGAGGCGATCCGGCACGCAATTCTCGCGTTTTCTGTTGATCAAACTCGTCCTGCTTGAGGGCATTCCAGGTTTGCGCCAGCAGATTCTTGGGCAGAATCCGTTTCCGTTGCAGCGTCCATAACCGTTCGACGCTGATCGCCGCCGCAACAACGCTGCACAACAATATCGGCACCATCAGCCAGCCACCGGCTTGAATAATTTCTAACACAGAAGTTCCTCGTTTATCCTTGTCAAAGCACGTTCGTCAAATGCTGGTCCAGACAGTTGAAAAGCGCGAGTTGTATCGTTACCAGACACAACCCCGTGCCGTTATTGGCCACAGGCTGTGAATCATACCGTCTGCTTCTTTGACCCAATAATAATCATGTAGATTTACCGTCGGATCGCAGTGTGGCGCCACAAATTGAACAACCTGACCTAATTGTAGCGCCTGCTCGCCTTTCGGCAGCACAAGCACCCCATGCTCGTCGCCGGCAAAATGAAACTTAACGCCAGCGTGATCATCCGTGACCGGGGCAACCGAGTCTGAGGCAAAGGCTTTATAGCCACCATCGACGGTCATAGTACCCTGCCGGGGCGCGCTGATGGTGCTGCAGGCCACATGTAAAGACACCTCGAAATCGAGAAACTGATCACTTTCCACTGCGCCAATCTGCCGATATTCCTCATCCATCAGGATATAGCTGCCTACCTGCATATCTGTCAGCGCTGGCACATCCACGTCGATGTTGTAAGTACCGGTACCACCGCCTGTCACAATGGCCGCATCATAGCCATGCTCGCGCAGAATTTGCAGTCGTTCGGTTACTGTTTCCCACAGCGCAAGGGATTTCTTTCGGCGCTCGACAAAATCGTCAATGTGCATCACATGACCTGCATAGTGCTGCACCCCAGCAAACGTCATGCGCGGATCTGCAACAATATGTTCGGCCAGTTTCAGCAACAGATCTATATCCCGGGCACCTGTACGCCCCATAGCAACATCTATATCCAGCAGTATTCCGAGGGTAGTATCCGAATCGAGATGAGCTTGCAGGACCTCCAGTCCCACAAGGCTATCTACCACAAGTTGCAGCCCCGTCGTCTGTTTGGCCAGCAGGTTTATGCACTGGGCTTTCAAAGGTGTGGTGACCGGAGAAGTGATCAGAATGTCCTGTATCCCACCGCTCAACAGAGCCGCCGCTTCGCCGATTTTCGCAACACAGACCCCAACTGCACCCGCAGCAATCTGCTCACGTGAGATCAGAGGGCACTTGTGGGTCTTCGCGTGAGGTCTAAAGCCTTTACCGTGATCGCCAAGAAAGGCGGCCATTTTATCGATATTACGACCAAGGGCGGGTCGATCTAAAACCAACGCAGGCGTCGGCAACGCCTCTATGGAAATGGGTTCATCAAGCAGCACAGGCTCACTGGCACGGCTCTGGGTCTGCTCGATCAAAAACGAAGCATTCAACGGCGACATCCAACTAACAAAGAAGCGGCCAGTTTAAGCCTGTTCGAAGAAATTTTCGTAATAATAGTTGGTGGCTTCAACAAATCCGGCAACCGAACCGCAGTCGAAACGACGTCCCTTGAATTTATACGCCATGACACAACCGGTTTTGGCCTGGGTTAACAGTGCATCGGTAATCTGCACCTCGCCATTTTTGCCCGGGGGGGTATTGCGCAAAATTTCGAAAATGTCCGGGGTGAGAATGTAACGACCGATGATGGCCAGATTGCTGGGGGCATCTTCGGGTGCTGGTTTTTCCACCATGTTGGTGACGCGCACCAGCGAATCGCTGATCATTTCGCCATCGATGACACCATAACTGCCAGTCTGATCAGCTGGGACTTCCTCTATGGCGACAATACTGCAGCGATACTGGCGGAACAGCCCTACCATCTGTGCCAGCACACCTTGCTCATCACCCAGGCAAAGGTCATCAGCTAACACAACACCAAAGGGTTCATCACCAATAATCGTCTGCCCCTTCAGGATCGCATCTCCCAGGCCCGCCATATTGACTTGACGCGTATAGGAAAATGTACAGTTTTTAATCAGCGACCGGATCCCATCCAGGGCCTTTTCTTTGCCGGTGCCGGCTATTTGATGTTCTAACTCATAGCTGACATCAAAGTGGTCTTCTATGGCGCGCTTACCACGGCCAGTGACAAAGCCAATTTCCGTGAGCCCAGCCTCAGCGGCTTCTTCAACCGCGTATTGCACAAGTGGTTTGTCAACAATTGGCAGAACTTCTTTGGGCATGGCTTTGGTTGCTGGCAGAAAGCGTGTTCCATAGCCGGCAACAGGGAAAAGGCACTTCTTGATCATCAAATCTCAACCCGGAGTCAAAACCCGAATTGTAACGTGCCCCAGGCAAAAAAAGCGGGGAATTGCGCACAAGATTGTAGCCACTGTGTAGGCTTAAGGCCCGCACGCTGAGAACTCCGGGAGATCAGCTTGGGGTGTTTTCTGCAGATACCTGCTCGCGTAGTGAGGCAAGCAGGTGTTCACAGATGGCATTGCCTAACTGACGTTTCTGCGTAGCGGTCAATTTAGCTTTACTACCGTCTGACCGACGACCGGCCTTACCCGCTTTTAGTGCGTTCGAAAGGTGCCACGCCACGTGCATGTGGCGATCACCGCGCCTTTCAAGGCTGGTCTGCGCAGGACCGATTGGCGTTTGACCGTTTAGTGATTGGCCTTGTCGCGTTTGGTCTTGTCGCGTTTGCCCCTTCAGCGTTTGCGGAAGGGGTTGGCCAAACTCGGATCCTGCAAACCCTGCGCTTTCAAATAGAGGTAATGTTTCACCCATATCAATTCCACGTAACGAAAGACTGTCCAACGGTTCAAATCATAACACTACTGTATGTTTATACAATACCTTTTCAGCTACCGGGTTGCTCCGTCAAAACAAGTTCATCATCTACCCAGGTACCTTTTATAACGCTGTCGGGATCAAAACCTCTTTCAAGCAGCGCATTCGCCAACGGGTTTTCGATCAACCTCTGAAACGAACGCTTCAGGGGACGCGCACCGTATACGGGGTCATAACCCTGCCGCACAACCTGCTGCATTGCCGTTTCGTCCAGTTCAAGAACCAACTCCTGTTCCGCCAGACGCTTATTCAGCTCAGCCAGCTGCAGCAGAGCGATTTCACCGATCTGACTTTCACTCAGCGGCTCGAACACAATCAGATCGTCCACCCGGTTTATAAATTCCGGTCTGAAGTGCTGAGCAACCACACCCATCACCGCATCTTTAATCCGTTCAGGCTGACCATCCTGGGTGAGTGTCTGAATGACTTCAGAGCCCAGGTTTGAGGTCATAACCAGAACCGTATTACGAAAATCCACCGTGCGGCCGTGACCATCCGTCAAACGACCATCATCGAGCACCTGCAACAGAATATTGAACACATCCGGATGGGCCTTCTCAATTTCGTCCAACAGGATGAGCGAATACGGCCGGCGACGTACCGCCTCCGTCAGGTACCCACCTTCTTCATAACCAACATAACCGGGAGGAGCACCAATTAAACGTGCCACAGAGTGCTTCTCCATGAACTCTGACATATCCACACGCAGCAGCGCTTCTTCACTGTCGAAGAGAACTTCAGCAAGGGCTTTACACAGCTCAGTTTTACCTACGCCCGTTGGCCCAAGGAACATGAACGAACCGTTGGGGCGGTTTGGGTCCGCCAGTCCAGCCCTGGATCGACGCACAGCCTGGCTGACCGCCTTAATTGCATCGTTCTGGCCGATTACCCGTTTATGCAGCAGTTCTTCAAGCTGCATAAGCTTGTCTTTCTCCCCTTCCATAAGCTTCGCTACGGGAATACCGGTCCACTTAGCAACCACTTCAGCGACCTCACCTTCGGTAACTTTGTTACGCAGCAGCCGGTGTGACGTTTCTTCCTTAGGAGCGGCTAATTTCGCCTCGAGATCGGGGATTACGCCATATTGTAATTCGGACATACGGGCGAGATCACCGGCGCGCCTCGCCGCGTCAAACTCAATACGGGCTGCTTCCAGCGCTTCCTTAACCCCCTGAGATCCTTTTAAGACATTTTTCTCTGCCTGCCAGATTTCATCTAACGCCTGATATTCTTCCTGCAGCTCAGCAACAGAAGCTTCAAGCACTTTCAATCGCTTCAGACTGGCATCGTCTTTTTCTTTTTTAAGCGCTTCGATTTCCATTTTCTGCTGGATCAGGCGCCGATCGAGCATATCCATGCTTTCGGGTTTTGAGTCCATTTCCATACGAATGCGGCTGGCTGCTTCATCGATCAGATCAATGGCTTTGTCCGGCAATTGTCGGTCGGTGATGTAACGATGGGACAGACGCGCAGCCGCCACAATGGCTGGATCGGTGATATCCACACCATGGTGAACTTCATAGCGCTCTTTCAGGCCGCGCAATATAGCCACGGTGTCTTCCAGGCTGGGCTCGTCAACCAGCACTTTCTGGAAACGCCTCTCAAGCGCTGCATCTTTTTCAATGTAAGTCCGATACTCATCTAACGTGGTAGCTCCAACGCAGTGTAATTCACCCCGCGCCAATGCCGGCTTCAACATATTGCCCGCATCCATGGCGCCGTCTGCTTTTCCTGCGCCCACCATGGTGTGTAATTCATCAATAAACAGAATGACGTTGCCTTCCTGCTTCGCCAGATCGTTGAGTACAGCCTTGAGCCGCTCTTCGAACTCGCCGCGATACTTAGCGCCGGCAATCAGAGCACCCATATCCAGAGACAGGACTTTCTTGTTCTTCAGGCTGTCAGCAACTTCGCCATTGACAATTCGTTGGGCCAACCCTTCCACAATTGCAGTTTTGCCGACCCCGGGCTCACCAATCAGGACGGGGTTGTTTTTCGTGCGTCGCTGCAGCACCTGCACGGTACGGCGAATCTCTTCGTCCCGGCCGATGACAGGATCTAATTTTCCATCAGCTGCTCGCTCTGTGAGGTCTAAGGTGTACTTGCTGAGCGCACCTTGCGTATCTTCAGCATTAGCTTCATCAACCGTCTCACCATCGCGCTGGGCGTCTACCGCCGCAAGCAGTGCGTCGCTGCTGACGCCAGCGGTTTTGAACATCCCGCTCAGAGTAGAATCCTCGGAGAGTGCAACCAAAACCCTATCTACCGAAATAAACTTATCTGATGCCTTCGTAGCCGACGCATCTGCGCGACCTAACGTACGTGCTAAGTCTTGAGAAATATTTACTTCACCTGTACTTGCCCCGATCTTCGGGCGATCTTCCAGATAATCAGCCACTGCCTGGCGCAACCCTTTGGCACGACCACCTGCACGGGTCAGAAGGTTAGTGGCCAGTTGATCCTGCGCATCCAGCAACACAGCCAACAGATGCGCCGACTCTACCTGGCTATGGTCCAGGCTGAGCGCCAAAGATTGGGCGTCAGACAATGCCGTTTGCGCCCGATTGGTAAATTTATCCATTCTCACGTTCGTGTCCTCACTAACCAGAATTTGGTCATCAATACAAATGTGCTGCTACAATGCGGTCGTTTAATCAAATTTCAACTGTGAATTGGGCCAGCCTAGTCATGGAACAACGCGAACATCCCCGCATACAAATTCCACTGTTAGTTGAACTGATCCATCCAGCGATCGGCACAGTGCAAACAACCGCCAGAGATATCTCCGAAGGGGGGTTGTTTGTTTATCTGGCCAACCCTAAAGTCCGCGAGGGCGGCAAGATAAAATTACGCGTGCTGACAACCCTCCCCACGGACACACAATCCAAACCCACAATAGAAATGCAGGTTAAGCGCGTAACAGACCAGGGACTGGGGCTGGCGTTCATCAATAAAACCGCCCAACACCTCTGGGGTAGCGTCCAGCAACCTCGCCAGGAACTCGCCATTGGCAGAGACTATTTTCAAATCCACCTCAGCCTCGCCGTGCTTCACGAGAAAAAAGGTGTTCTACTTGTGCAGGAAAACGGCAAATGGCTGTTACCTGGCAGATTCCTGATCGTAGGCGAATCTGCAGAAAAGGCATTAAGGGATTTTGCGGAGACTGGCCTCGGCCTGCCCTTAAGTAGTAATATCAAGCCCATCGCCGCGGACAGCACTATTGAAACTGGTCTTTCAGAAGCTGCCACCTACAGCGTTATTTACGAAAGCACTACTACCGTCTCTGCCATCGATTTGCCCAAGCAAAGCCAATATCGCGACTGGCGTTGGTTAAACCGAAATCGCGACCTGCGCGAAATCACGTTTGCCGTCCCATTTCAGCGATCCACTGTAGAGGCGCTCCTCCAGCAATTATTCGAGAGTTAATCAGCAGCAGAATGGTATCGACCAAATATTTCAACAGTACGCAGGCCGAGCAGCACAGCGACTATGTCGGACAGATTGTTATCCGACCTAATAACTCAATGGGATGGCAGACTACCCGCTACTTTCTGGCCAGCCTGATGATCATCTCCCTGACTATGGCCACCGCTTTTCTGCT